CAGAGAAGAACCATACACTTCCTGAGCAAGAATCCACCACAGGGTTCTGCGCCCGTGTAATTGGGGTCCTGCGGAGCTACTCCCTACGAAGTAGAATGGTGGGGGACGCCCTATGTAAGCCCTCGAAGCGACCAGGTCCAGACCATCCAGCATCGGGATATCGTGCAAGGACTCGGACACAGAGATTCGCCGACGATTCTTCGACGGTCATTGTAACATCAAGCATCCGCGAGGATTTAATCTATCGTCGGCTGCGCGGTCTAACAACGTCGCCATGAGTTTCATTTTAATACTATTCACCCTTGTGCTCGGCCTCTGCAACTGTACAGCTCGAAGAACGACCACGGCGACGTCCACGATAACTACCTTCGACAAAATTGGAGAACCTCAACAACAGCAACGTCAAGGTTAGTGACATTAGGCTGGTGCAAATGAAACGACATTTCAAATACATTTTTATAGGCAATAGTCAAGAAAGAGGAATTTGCCGTAGTGCATGTGTATCGAATAGTAAAAGAATTTATAATGTAATTGTTTGGACATTATTATTTGACGCGACGAGTAATCGGGATACTCGTGTAATTTTTTTGTATAAGTTTAAACTTGGAAAGACTGCGGTACGAGTTCCTAAATGCTAAGACACTTCGACGTTTGTGTGGAAAATTCAAAATTGGTGACATTTTTAGCGGGAAGTGAGCTAAGAGGAAGGTTAGATAGGGCCATCGATGTTAACGTTTTGAGAAAACATTATCGAAAGCAATCCACGCTGAAGGATATGGAATTTTGCTAGATCTTCCCCTATTCGTTCGACCTTTCCCTAACAGACTACCGTTTCTTCATACACCTGAACAATTTCTGTAACGAATAAATTATTCGAAAATGGAGACACTGTAAAGGTAGCATTCGAAGAATTTTTGAGTTTAAAGACTAACGATTTTTATAAATTCGAAATAATGAAGCTAGTGAATCGTTGGGAAAAGTGTATAGAATTATGTGGAAATTATCTTGATTACATTCGTTAATTTTGTGAAGAAGCACAGTGTATTTAAAGTTTCATTAAAAAAAAAAAAAAATGTTTCATATGCACCTGATAATTAAGTTTCATATTTTGGAATTGAGTTTCCTTTTTGTGAAATTTTATCGGTGTTAAATCGAATCATTACATTCGAGATAGTTTGTTTATGCTGGTGCGCGGAGTGGGTTATTTTCAGATGTTTGTGGTAGAAAGAGAGTTTTCGTAATTTATATGTATAAAATAAAATGGAACGTAGTTCCACTTTTAGGTTTCTATTGTGCTTTTACTTCTTTCAAAGGGTAATGAGGCGAATTCAAACATACCATCTCATGTGTGACTTTATTGATAAAGAATTTGTGAAATAGGACAACGAAAGTACCTAATGAATTTGCTTCGTGCATTTCAAAAATTGAAAAAACTTAATTGTCTTATTTCACATATAAAATCACACATGAAATGTTCAATTCGTCTTATTACACTCTACATTTTTTAGAAAAAGAAATGCCACCTGTTATTTCTGAAGACATACACTGCGGGCCAAAAGTTTGGAATCACTGTGCATTGCAAATTACACAAAACTTCCCAGAATAAAGTCAGCAGCTTTAAGAATTTTTTAACGAATTTTGTATCATTCAAATCAATCTATATGAGATAAATTGCTATTTACCTCCACAATATCAATATCAAGCCTATGAAAAATTAGTAGCAGATTCAGTACTGATGAAAATTGGGAGGTGACTCCAAATTTCTGGCCAGTAGTGTAAGTTAAGTAGGTGTACTAGTAAATTCAAATTCAAATATCCCCTAAATCTCCAAACTTCTGGCCAGTAGTGTAAGTTAAGTAGGTGTACTAGTAAATTCAAATTCAAATATCCCCTAAATCAATGGTTTTTCCACATAAATAGGTGAATACTTTTTTCTTTCATAAAGAATACAATTTTATATAAAAAGAAATGCAAGTAAGCGCCTGATCTTAACGCCTCCACCTAAAGTTACGAAGTCTCCCTCGATCTTCTGTAACCCTCTAACAGGATTTTCTTCTATCCAACGTACTTTTCGAAATATTAAAAGATTAAAATCAAACTCTCCGTATGCAGGGTGTCTTTTTTAACACAACAGAGTGGAACATCTCAGAAGATACTGAAGCTATCGAAGAAATGTTCCTACAAAAATTGTTTGGTATAATAAGGGACATAATGTGGTGTGAATAATTTTTTCATGGGTGAAGTAATAGGGAAGATTTTAAGGTTAGCTTTATCTTTTCAAATAAAACGGTATACTTTTTTTTACCGTTAATATTATAGCGTTTGTTGAAACGAATTCAACGAGATGCCACATCGAGTCATTTCGTTTTATGGGAAGTTGTAAAATCGCGGAGTGTCAGTAGGGTTTATCTCGACGAAGGCGCGCTACATGTGTGGACCTGACTTTCCGATTTTTCATAAAACGAAATGTCTTCGTGCGGTACATCGTTGAATTCGTCTCAACAAAGGCTATCATATGAAGAAAGAAATACAACACAATTCCGGTAATCCGGCACGCTCAGGTCTTCGGCAGTGCCGGATTATCAAATGCGGTAGAAACGAGGAAAATAATTTAAGTAATAACGTAATTTATTGACAAAAATAAAATGCACACGAATAAAATATAGGATATAAATAACTGAATTATCTTAATCTTCGTCGTGCGATCATTACCGACAACTGATGACAATGCAGTAGAACATGAGGCAGTTTGAGAATTACACGAAGCATATTAGAGGAAAGTGTACGAAACTATCCTGGTCCTTTGCGACAGCAGTGGCAATAAGAAATATAAAAAAAGAACATCACATCCATTAAATGGTACAGGGAAAAGAAAAAGTATGATACACAGAAAATTCTAAAAATATTAGAGCTACGAGTGCTGGATTATTGGACGTGTCGAACAATTGGACTACCGGAATTCTACTGTATAGCGTTCCATTAAAAAAAAATATCCAGGAAAAAAAAATATTTATATCACATTATGTCTCACATCATACCAAACAACTTTTGCAAGAACATTTTTCCAATGACTTTAGTTCTTTCAACAAAAGACACCCTGTATGTGCATGCTAATATATGAAAGACACCCTTAAGTCCCATGAAACTGGTGTGCAATTTACTGAGAACGTATTTCGTATTTTATGTATACAGCAGACTTGGAAAACGTCTGGGATCTGGTAGAGTTACAAAAGCTGGACAATCATGGAAACACTTGGCACGAGGAATCTTCATTCAGAAACGCCACAGAACCGCAAGATCCAGATCTGACAAATACGAAGCAATTGTATCCGACTGTCCCTAATCCCGGGGACTCGAACGAATTACCAGGACCTATCGTAACAATTAAACCTATACCGGCACCAGCACCTGGTTGTTACGCTCTGCGAGGACAGTACCCAAGTCCGAGGAGCTGTGCCAGTTATTTAAATTGCTGGGACGATATCGTTACCGAACAAGATTGTCCCGATGGTTTGCTCTTCAATGACTTCACCTTGGTTTGCGATTACGATTACAACGTGAATTGTGGCAGCCGCCCTTTGCCACCACCGAGTAAGTAAACGACCTTGTCCAATTTGCCTAACTACTAATGGCAGGTAATCGAAATAATGTTACATAAATACGTCGAAAATTAATGAACCCTTTGCACTCGACGGCCCTTTCTTCCAGAAGCAATCAGCAAATCAGAGCCTGCTTGCTAAATAAAATTACTGAAATTGTTTAAAACTAACATAGAAATAAATACTATAACTATTTTACTTCGATGTACGTATAATGTATTTTTGTTATACAAAACCTTGTAACACTTTATTAGAAGTTGGTTCTTTCAAACTATTTCACCGCTGAGACCTCTAACATACGGTGAACAATTTAGAGAGGTCCGCAGACCTGTTATCCTGTAAAACATTAGCTTAAAGGGGGTCTCCATTAATTATTTACCAAATGGTAAATAGTAATGTCGCTTCTTAGTTGCCTCTCGAGTGTAAAGAGTTAATAGCTGAATCAACATCTACTGAAATGATAAGAGTATAGAATAATACAGCTCTAGCAAGTGAATTTTCGACTAATTTCAAAGTACTTTGTACAGTGACCTTTCTTGGTACTTTTTACAAATACAGTTTTTTGTTCGAACAGAACCGTCCTTACCTTCTGGATCACATCTATGTCCAGAACCGAACGGTCGCTACAGAAGTGCAACGAACTGCTCGGAATTCTACGTATGCGTTTACAAAAAGCCAGTTAAATTTGGCTGCCCACGCGGTTTGGTTTATAACGATGTAAGAATCGCATTGTTCAGTTATTTCTGAAACTCTCGCGTAATTTTAAATCGCGAAACAACAGTGGTCATCGTGCAAGCATGAGAATTTCCATTGTTCGAATTGCCACTGTTAACTCAATATCGATCAAAGGCTGATTCGAAGACTTTCGTATCGTTATTTTCAATTGAATTCGATATTGTCTCGTTTCATTCGATTCTGTTCGATAATTTAAAAACAAAGATTTGAACCTGTGATACTTAAATATGTCTTTGGTAATGCACTTTTAATATTCACTTTCAATATTTATACTTCAAATTTACCATTGCTAAAATATCTTCACAAAAAGTGGTCGTGAATCAGTGTTTAAATGCCAACATTACCGACACACCATATACAGGGTGTTCCAGTTTTGCCCAATAAATTTTGTCAGTATGGTAGAACGTACTGACAAAGTTTCATAGGTAAAAATTGGGACACCCTATATATACACACAGGTTACTATTTACTGTTCTTTCTTCTGAATTCCTTCTTTTACTTCAACACCATATTGCATTCTCTATAGCAGTGCCGTTCAACAGGCCTTCAGGCGGGCAAGGGCATCGCCGATGCCCGCGGGCAGAGCTAAGGGCAAAGTCGCGGACTAGTGGTCGTATACATTAAAGAAAAGTGGGGGGAAAGACGTTTGTGGTAGGGGTATAGGTCCTTCTTAAGACGGGATATAGTTACTACATATATACATACACACACGCACCTTTGTCTAAGAAGGCGTGGCTTGTTGCCCGCCGATTCCAAAACGCTGCCCGCACGGGCAGTGACTGGACGGCACTGCTCTATACATCGTTCAAAATGAGAGTAACCTCGCTCTCGGACCGATTCTCGTCCGTTCTGCGCACAGAGAGCGTAGCAGAGGGTAATACGGAGAATTTTGACGTTCTAGTGGTTCTAGCCCTGCCTTAGACACGCCCCATGCGCGAAACGAGGTTACTCTTATTTTGAACGATGTGTATACTGTTCACATTCTCTTATTTCACCTGTAATTTATCGTTCCACAGATTCTAGGTGTTTGCGACTATCCCTACAATGTCGACTGCAAAGGCGCAGCTACACCTTCGCCACCACCCAAACCATCTTTGCCCCAAACAGAGTTACCATCGCTGCCACCACAGCAACCAACGTATGCACCACCCTATCAACCGTACCCACCATCGCCTTTGCCATCGCAGCCACCTCCTAACGATCTACCACAACAGCCATCTTACGGGCCAACGCAACCACAACCAGCGCCCTCTTATCCTTTAAATCCATGGCTAAGCAAAACGGAACCAGATCCCTGGAATCAGCGACCGGTGTCGGCACAGTTAGAAGTGAACCAGCAACAAGAACAGGCACAAGATCTCCTTGACGCGCAGAAACAGCCGGTCAATCATTTCCAAAATCCTTGGAACCTGTTGCAAAATATCCCACCCAGTCTCAGTATGATTCCGTGTAAGAACGGAGATCGGCACAGATTGAACGACTCTTGTACGAACGTGGTAGTTTGCAGAAATGGTCGACCGCAGTTGGTGCAATGTTCGGTGGGACACACGTACGACAGAATATCGGACTCTTGTAAACCGTTCTCCATTGCCAAATGGTAAGTATATTCTCGATGAATATTTCTTGGTTGATTTTTGTGCTAAACTGTTAAATATATAAGTTATATTTTTTGAAATATATATATGTGTGCCCTGTTTGAAAAATTATTTTGTTTCTGTTTCAGTTAATCTACGAGTCACTTGAAACTTACGCTTTGTATTAAAAACGCAGACTACTTAAACGTAAATAAAGAATTTTTAAAGAGATTTTTCTTAGAAACCTGAATTTCTTACTACCTCTTTTCATAAGAATCATGAAAAGTAATGGGAGTTTTGATGATTCTTCTATAAAATAAATTAAATGAACAGGATAGTTGGAAAAATAAATTACAAGGCGCTACTTTAAGTGTCATCTTTAACATAAAACTAAATAGCAAGTATTACGTTTCAAAATTTTTTTAAATTTTTATCTTCAATTTTTCAAGATCATACTAAGGTCATTTCGTGTTTCTTTTAATGGAATGCTATATTTTCGTTTTGGTATTATCAAAGTACAAAAAAAAAAAAAAAACAAGTTCAGCATATATCTTTGAAATGATCCTGAGACAATCCACAAGGACGAATCTTCATATTTCGTATTTTTGTTATAACTTTTTAACAAAACTTCATAAGACATGTGTTTATATAACGTTTTTTTCTTACTTACATCCGTAGAGTATACTGATAAAGTTTGATTAGAAAAAACCGGGACACCCTGTATATACGTATAAAATACACAGTATTCGAAAGTTTCATCAATTTTCCACATGATACACCTATTTCGAATGGAAACATTATACCTTGTTTCTTTAAATAAAAGGAAATGCTTCTTTCACATATTTATGGTTATTACTATTAAAACTACGAGTTGCTGTATAATTACACGAATGGCGGGAGACTTTAAAAAGCGACAAATCGTTTATGCAAATTCTATGAAAATTGTAAACTATTTTATTTAGGTACGAAATAAAACAGTATACTATTGTACTATTTACAGTCTAGTATAGTTTTTTGTTTATTTTCTTTTTTGTATAGCATTTGTTTTTTGTTTCTCCTATATTTTCTTACGTAAGTAAAAAAATTCGTATATGGTAACTCTAGATGGTAAAGAAGAATTCGAAGAAATAGACGATGAATCGTTCTTATCTCCACTGTAAGAGAGCAGCACTGTATCTTCACGTTTTCCAGGGGTACAAACGAAAAAGGCGGAAATGTTCACACGAACATATGTATTTACAAGCGTGTTTTCAGAATTGCAAATCTTATTTTAGACACCAATCTTATTTATACATAACACATTAAAGTAACGGTTCGCAATTAAATTTACAGCTTTGTTGAAACCGCGAAGGTTACATATGTACTTACAAGCGTGTTTTCAGAATTGCAAATCTTATTTTAGACACCAATCTTATTTATACATAACACATTAAAGTAACAGTTCGCAATTAAGTTTACAGCTTTGTTGAAACCGCAAAGGTTCTGTTACTTGACAAAAAAAAATGTTATCTAAATATTTAAGGAACAAAACACATGTACGATAATATTATTAAACCTGTCTCTAACCTCTAAATATGACTGAACTATCTTCTACAGTTTCTCAAGTAACATTAATGCGTTAATTATGTTCTTAGTGTATAAATACCACGAAGAATTAATACGGAAATGTACATACGTACATATTTTTTATGCAATTTTTCAAAAGAGATTGCAATATTTAACAGAGCAGTTTAGAAAGCTGGAGAATTATGTATATTCTAAACTTGTTTCGGGTTTTGCTCTAAAACGCAACGTTAATCAAAGAAACAACTTTATCGAATGAAATAAATAGGATACCAATTATTTGAAATGCCCTTTAAAATTTTTCTTAATTTTTTACTCTCGCTATTTCTCTTTTCTTGTTATGCACGTTGCTTTATCTATTTATTTAGTCTTTCAACATACTTCTGGAGTACGTTTTATCTCTAACACCTGTACGATCTGTTGATCGTTGTATTGAAGTCGGTGTTTTTAACCAGTGTTGTTTAAAACGTGCAGACAGCATTTGTTGCGTAGGTCCTTTAGAAATGATAACGTTCTCGTTTCACATTCAACAAGAACCAGGAAACTTATGCAACAACTTAACGATTTCTATACTTACAATTCATTACACTGAAATCATTTAAATATCTGTGTTCGCCGATATATGTACACAGACTTTCAGCAGATGAACTTAAAAATTAACCGATTTTATACACATCATATGTAATATTTTCGAAGTGTTCTCCATGTTGTATAAGGCAGTAATATGATCTGTGTTCAAATTCCATTCTTGCCTTTCTCAAACCCTCTTTTGTAATATCTAAAATATATTTTCTGATATTGTGCGATAAAAACTAGCGTGAAAAAGTAAAATCGTTGTAGACCTTGTCATCTAATACGACCAAAAAAATTAAAAAGTTTCGTTTGCATCGCTTAATTCTCCATTCTCTACTTTGGAAGTAGCACAGCTGAAATAAATTTCTGTTTCATTAAATATCTTTTTAACATGAAGTCTAGTAAAAAAATACTTCATATAAAAGTTTCTTCATTTTTCCCGTAGAATAAGAATATATAAAGAAAAAATATATTTTCTATTTGGAAAAAGAAAGTTGATGTTCAAATAACTTTAAAGACGCCTAATAATTAAAGAATAAGTAGGATAGTTGTATTTCCCTCTCGAAATAGTGAAACTTTTGTATTAAACATTTTTCCTAAAAATGCGTTGTTCTTCAGATATCTAGACTGTAACCTGTATAATAAGTCCAATTTTGTAATAAATATCACCGAAGACATTACGTCTTTTCAATTTCTAAATAATTTAGGATGAAATGAATGTGTGCATATACAAGGTGTCCTATTTTTTTCTGATCAAACTTTGTATAGTATGTTCTATGGGTACAAGAGAGAGAAAAATATTATACAAGCATAGGTTGTTTGAAGCTTTGTTAAAAATGCTATTTTGTCATAGTTTTATCTTGAACTTTATGAACGCTGTTCGACATATCATCTCCAAATTTTAACTCAGATTTGCATAACTTTTGTCATCCTTCAAACAGCACACATTGGCTTCCATATATTTGCAGCAAAATTTTGTCAACAAATCTCTTTTAATGCTGAAGAGATTAAAACGCGAGATCAATAAACAGAATCGACAATTAAACAAACGTACATTTACTCCAGTTTTTAATTATACAAGTTCAAATGTAATAGTTCAGTCGTTTTCACCAGTTTCATTGAATATTTGAAAATTTAAGATCTAATCACAACCATTTGTGTGTTAATTCAGTAATTTTCAAAAGGCCTTTTATACAATATTTTATACAAATTTCCATCCTACAATAACGAACTCTTATTTAAATGTTTGAATTCTCTATCGTCACCGCCATATTGGAATGCAAGTTCTGAATTTTAATGCAAAACACAGTTGTACACTTCAATGTTTCGCACAATCTTCTACCGAATCTTTCTTTATCCTTGAACAACATTCCCACAAGAACTGTCGACATCAACTTCCGGCTACATAAGAACAAGTCTTTTTCTAACATTCTCTCTAATTGGTATTTCGCGGTTGATCAGTATACGGTTTGAAGAAGGCGCGTGGAAACAGAAAAACGTAATTGTCGATAAAAATTTTCAACGTATTTAAGAAGGAAAGCAACGAATGTGCACACTTCACCTAGCGCTATCGTAAAATTTCGAAATTACGTAATAAACATTTCTTTCGCGTTATAACACTGCGAGCGGCACCACGTTGCACTACTTTTCCCATTAAAATATACAAAATACACAGAAGCACATTGTACAACGCAAACATATGATATTTTATTCAAGTTTAAATTCGTCTAGGCTTAAAAACTGTTTACCATAATTACATCTTATTTCGTTCTCTTCAATTTCAAATCAGGTATACGTTAATTCCAAATTTTTTCTCTCTATCAGAATTGCTTATTACACAGAATCTGTGAAAAAAAAATTGAAAACTTTTACGAAATTCGAAACATCGTTGAATTTCGATAACTGATCGAATTTTTACTTAAACTGTTTAACCGTTTGAGTGCCACGAGCCTTTCTTATTCCCCGATCGAAAATTGCCAAGCGGCGCGATGGCGCTCGTCATATTCCGCGTCCAAAAATGCCAAAGAGCGCGATAGCGCTCGTCATATTCCACGTCGAAAAATGCTAAAGAGCGCGATTGCGCTGCTTTCAGCTTACACGTAATAATTTTATCCTTTTTTTACTTAAGACTCAAGGGTAACCGTAAAGTCGCGCATCGAAAAAAATTGACCCCTCTGTGATAATGGGCTTCGCAGCCTAGAGCGCTGGCGCTTTTAGGACAGGATAGAAGAAGCGCGATCGCTTAGCACAGATTTTTTTTTTAAAGATAATTCAACAATTTCACGCACTTGTAGGTGACAGAAATAACGAAAACGGTAAACCGTTCTTTAATGGAACAAAACACACGCAAGGAAGATATATCACCTTCGCTGCTTTCTTGGCGTCATGCCCGCGACTGCTGTGCTTTTCTGCGAGCTTAAACGAAACGGGTATCCTTCTATGCAAATTAGACGACAAAGAGGAGACGAGCAGAGCGTTTTAAAATCTGAATGACGAAGAAAATCGTTTCCAACCAACCAACATTATTTGCACTTTCCAGTTTAGACAAAAGAGAATTGAAACTGATGAACTATGTATTGTTAGTTAATTTCTTAGTCGTTATTCAAGCTCATTCTCGTTATTTCAGAAATAATGAAAGTGTTAAAATGTGTTAATACATTCCTGGTCATCATTATCAAATTTTATTAACACACTTCTTGTTAACAATTGTCAGAAATACTCTGATAATTTGTCGATAAGAGAATTATCGTCAAGTAAAACGAGGATTTAAAACAAATAAAACTGGTATCGAATCGAATTCGCCTTTGAAGCGGGGCTAACGTGCACAGACAAATCAAATATAGCGTTCGAATTGAAAAGCAAAGTTGATCTTCATACCTTGTTAACCCATCCCAACAGAATAAAACTATTATCAATATACGCTAACTCCCACAAAACTTTGCAACATTCGTAGGAAACATTTTCAGGTGATAAATTTAGGTGAAACACCCTGTATACATATATGTATAGGAATTGAC